AAACGCTAAGAATCTATATAGCCTTCGCTATGGTTAGCCTTCAAGAAACGCCTAGGGCCTACTACATAGGTTTCACTGACGTCACAATCGGGTATTCGCCCCGGCGCCGCATGTTCCTGGCATATGCACATGGGCATCGCAAAGCATTGTTTTAGATTATATTGACATTATGACATTAAGGCTTATGGAGCTTGCGATTTCTATGCGTGTAAATTTCTAATTAAAGAGAAAGTTAACTTTGTTATAGATAGACTACACGACTATATAAGTAATTATGACAAGTTTCGTTTACATTACCGGGTGGTGTCGGTAAGATAGCCGTATATATATCAACTATATGTATGTGTATTGTTTAATGTTATTTTGCTAATGTCGAAGCTTGATCTTGCCAGTCATAGCCTTGGCCGGGTTATTTACAATTACTATCATACGTGGCCGGCGGAAGTTCGGACTTGCAATTGTAGTATGTACGTGCAGTTGCTGTGGTTATACTGAGTGGGATAGACTGATATCCTAAGTAAGTGCCTACGGTCCACGTGCTGCACCTAAAAAGGTAAAATGGCAACAAGTCATTAAACGACAAGTAAATCTAATAACCGTATAGTAAGATAAATAATTAACGTAATCATTTCATAATAATAGATGTACTACAGATAAGAGACGAGAATGTTAATTAAAAAATAAATAAAATGCTGAAGAATGTATGGGTGTTAGATACTCCATATAATATAGGAGTGTTCCCAACTTTAATGTCATATAATGCTTTAGAGGTTTAGGTCTATTTAGGTTAGGTTAGGGTTTAGGATTAATCAATCATTAATCACATTAACTGATATCAAAGTGCCGCTGGCGGACAACTCCTAATGGCCAGAGCGTTAGCCGAACTGATTGTAATGTGATATTTGTAAACGTACCCCCTTTCATTTCTTTATCATTCCCTTTTAGTCATGGTTTCCTTGCTTTGATCTCCCCCTTGTGCTTAGTCGCAATAAACGCCCCTCCGGCCGTTATCACCGGTCTAAGTCAGTCGGGACCTATAACGTCAATATACACATCTTTGATTTATGACCGTTTCTTGGAAGCTACGGTCTAAGCATACGATTGTGGATTGCTGAATTCGGTTTTGAACCGCTGCGTGGGTGTGTTGGTTTGCGAACGTAGAAGACGTTAGATAGAATTACTTTATGCATCGGCCATCAACCAACGCATTTAATCAAAGAAATAACGTCAGACTAATACACTTACATATATACGCGGATGGCTCTATACGATAAGTAGATTCCTAATCACAATAAGAACGTAACACAGTAAAAGAGCGGCTTTAAAGGCACGGCAGGGCTGAGTACACCGAGAAGATGAGCGCCAAGAGGGGAGGAGAAAGTCGCGAAGCTGCCTTATATACGATCACGGCTTCAGTTACTCCTGAAATTGGTCAAACGTGTGCCCCCCCGCGCTCGCCCCCGCACTCCTCGACCCCCGATAGCGTTATTACTGCGATTGGCTAGGAACAAAGCACGAGTAGCCATTCTGAGAAGGCATACATATAGATTGCCGTGACAATAATTCCGTTCCACACCCGGTTCGGTGACCAGTGTTTGCCATGAAGCCAGAAAAAGTTAGGCCTGCAGGCCTATAGCCTCCTAGAAGTGCAGGCCTGCCAGCAAGCTTGTAGGCCCGCAATTTTGGAGACCAAATTACAAGTAATAAAACAGGCAGTATCATGTTTCTTCTTGTGTTTATTGATCATTATCAATGTCCCATTATCATAATCCTCTGTTTTTCTTCCTCTCGTCGGGCAGACTGTTTATGCTCTTTGCCGGGGGGCTCAACAATTTAACGGAAAAACGCCAAATCGTTGGCTCCTTGGTAACTACGACTCTCCCGTTGACAGCAGGTCGAGAAGAGACAGACTGGCTAGTCTGTTACACATCGGTAGCAACTCAGTAGCGTCTCATACATTGCGAGTGGAGCCGCAAAAGCTGGGGGTCCGCCTTATTTACTAGCAGTGAGCTAACAAAATAGTATACAAAATAAACATGGCATAAACAGAAACATGTAATTATAGTTGGCTCAACAATATATCTCAAGCTCTAGGATGTCGGGGGAGGCTTGTGGGAAAGGTTTTACTTTCGTTTTCTCTTCCCCAGTCACGGTACCCCATGCATAGATCAATGCTGCCGCAACATCGCAAAGTTACAAGTTGCCTATAGATTTTGGATTACAGAATACATTGCTTCTAGATATTAAACTGAATAAAATAGTCCACTTTCTACGTAAAGAAAAAGCTGACAACTTCATAGTTAACAGCTTTGATTACGTGCGCGTCAGGTATCAGGGGGTCGTGCCCTCACTCCCCACGATAAACCCCTGCGATATATGAACTAATTGTTATGCGGTCATTGCCGCAAGTCAATTTCTTTAGGCGGACTGTCACGAAGGTTTTTGTCTTGGTGCGCCGGCCGAATCATGCGCTGAGGGGTTCATGCCGTCGGCTCTAGATTGTTTGGATACCCCCGTCTACGCTCAGGAACGCGAGCGTATATAGACATGCCTTCCCGATTTACAAGTCTGTCTAAAACAGCCGATTGCCGATAACGTAGTATTTCAGCGTAATATGAGGGGAAAAAGTGAAGTTTCGCAGAGTATGTGTGCCGAAGGCAAAAAACTGGTGCTCGGGCCTGCCGGTGCAGGCACTTAATTTCGAAGGCTGCGATTCAGGGCTGATCGCTCTTTTCATTTACAATCAGCTTGGCGCGAAGTATGCAGTTGGGGCGAACGCATTGTTTACATGTATGTCACGGTTTTCAGGATTAGTTTTTCAAATAATATTCCTGGAAGTTAATATGCAAGAAAAGATTTCTGTTTACAGGTAACAGTTTCAGTGTTTCGAATTTTTCGGTGATCAAATAGCTGTAGGATCAGCGGTGCCTGTTTTATCAAAGGAAGCTGATAGGGCCCGGGGACATCGAAAACTGTCGGCGGTCGGGGCCGCCGGCCGACGTGAACTTTCGAAACACTGTTGGTGACAGCTTGCATAATTTCGATGCCTAAACAATACCCTGCTCAACCGGGCCTATGTCCCTGAGTAGACATGTCTTTAACCCAGTGAACATAGGCTGAGTTCACCACAAATACAAGTTATTTTTCATATTTATACAATGAAAGAGAGAATATACAACAAGAAATAATTAGAAATATTATAGATACTACTTGACGCTTAGGTTACCTAGACGCTTGGGGTAATCTTAGAGCACGTACGAAGATCAGCTATGGTCAGGAGGCGCTGTCTAGAACGCTAGTGAGGGAAGCACTCGCCGTCATCTGAGACAATTCGAAAACACCACACGTGCTATCAGACAGAATCCGAAAAAAATAACGTATTCGAAAATTGCATCGTTTTTGGTGATACGAAACGGTTCTGGAATTCTTATCGTTAACTCTAGCACGAGTGCCTACTTCGAGCGAATAATAAGCTGCTGGTCCAGTCCATCATGTTACCACAACCTAACTTTAGTAAAAAGCACAGTAACAAGCACAATCCACAAAATGCCACCAGACTTGATTTAACAGTTTCAACATGAAACGGCCTGAGCCTTGTTCGATTACGCTTGCAGGTAACACGGCGTCGCTAGGGAACACGTTGGAGGTAACAACGGTCGTCACAGGTAACACGGGCTCACATGTAACACCGGCTTCACAGTAACACAGGCTTCACCGGTATATACGTCGCATGGTAGGTAATACAGTCGGTAGCAGCGGTAAACAGGGCGTCGCGACGCGCGCTCTGGAGTAGCACGTTCGTCAAGGTAAACACGGGCTTCACGGTAAATACGTCGGCATGGGTAATACGTCAGTGCCGGTAACAGGCGTCGCAGGAAACAACGTTGGACGCGCTAGCACGTCGTCACAGGTAACCGGCTTCACGGTAATACGGCGGTGCCGGTTAACAGGGCGTCGCAGGAAACACGTTGGAGGTAGCACGTCGTACACAGGATAACACGCTTCACCTGTAATACGTCGGCTATGAGGTATCCGTCGGTGCGGTACAGGGCGTCGCAGGAACACCGTTGGAGGTAGCACGATGTCACAGGTAACACGGCCTTCACCGGTAATACGTCAGTCATGGGTAATCGTCCGGCCCCGGTGGCGGTAACAGGGCGTCGCAAAAGGAACGTTGGGGTAGCACGTTCGTCACATGTAAACACGGCTTCACCGGTAAATATCGGCTGGGTAGTACCGTCCGGTACGTAACAGGCGTCGCAGGAACACGTTGGAGGTAGCACGTCGTCCACAGGTAACACGGCTTCCACGGTAACTACGTCTGGGTACCGGTAACAGGGAGTCGCAGGAACACGTCACAGGTGAACACGAAGTCAGCAGGTTACACCGGCTATACTGTAATACGTCGGCATGGGTAATACGTCGGTGCCGGTAACAGGGCGTCGCAGGAACACAGTGGAGGTAGCACAGTCGTCACAGGTAACACGGCTTCACCTGTAATACGTCGGCATGGGTAATACGGTCGGCCCGGTAACAGGGCGTCGCAGGAACACGGAGGTTAGCACGTCGTCACAGAGTTAACACGGGCTGCACTGTAATACGTCGGTGTGCGCCGGTAACAACGGATTCACGACACGAGTTCTCTCTCGAACAACTGTGATTGCTCTGCCTGTAAAAATCAAAAACAGTTTTATCTTCACTGCCAATGGTTAACAGAGAGAGAGAGAGAGCAGGGAGGGGGCATTTAGGGTGTCTAACGAGTGACACCTATTATTATACTATCACTTATCATGACTTGATTATGATTAACACTTTGTGATATGCGAAAAGAGAGAGAGAGAGAGGAGCTTCGAAAGTAGTTGAGGCGCAAAACATAGGTATCTGATGGGAATACACCAGTAAATGGGCCGCATGCCGGCTACATATTAGTCATAAACGCCACTCGTAGTGGTGTATAAAAGAATCAGAACTCACCGTTTAAAATCCGGTACTTAAGGATACTAGTCACTCGTGCGGCAACACTAACGGAGCATGTTGAATCCGAAAGACAAAAGAGTTTTCGTCAAGGATCCAGAGCCACAAGGTGTCGTCCATCTTGATTCTTCTCCTGGAGTTAGTAATGGCAGCTAGTTTCTCCCTGTCCGTGCGTGGATGAACGCGGTCGATGCAAAGTAATAACCAACCCAACGCTTGGACCCGCCCCTAAAAGGAGACGGCGGCAGCAGAGAAGAGCGAGCGCGAAGAGGAGAGAGAGCGGAAGAGAGAGCACGAGAGAGAGAGAGCGTGTCGAGAGACTGATCGATGATATTGCCAGTTGAACTAGGAGAAACACGGTTCGATACACCGAATGACTGAGAGAACCGCCTCTGAAAATACGAGGAGTGATGCAAAGTGGAATCTAACGTAGTATGTGATTGCCGCATGTGTTGTTACGCTTGCAGAAGATGGCCGCCGTACACGTGACCATTTAGAAATGTGACGTCGATGTGAGATCCTAATATAGTATGAATTGCTAGGTTAGAATAACCCGACACAGAGCTGTGTGATTAACGGTCACAACGCCTGACATCCATCACATTGAAAAATCTTCTAGCTGTACAAAAAACTACGCAACAATTACGCTATATCTACAGAAGTAAATAATCATCTAAGCGATTTCTGCCTTGTTTAGTATTAGTACTAAACGAATCTAGTATGATAAGTGTGATCCAGAATGGACGGCGCAGTATAGGAGAGCGTTGCCGAAGGACGGTGTTAATCCAAAGCCTAAGCGCAAGATCTGCGCGCAGTTCGCGCGGCAAGGCGCACGCGCACGCGGGACGTCCTACACGATCAAAGGTCAGCGCTTGGCAGCTATGGATCCGTGCGCCGGAATGAAATTGGCCGGACGCACAGGATCCATAGATGCATGCGGAACGTCGTTCCGCCAATTTTAGTGCGGGGACACAAGAGATGGTAGAATTTGGGACAGTGACCATGCTTCACTTGTATAAAAACATAATGTCTGTGTTTCGTAAACCGAGCTGGAGCGGTTACTCTTATGAAAATGCTTTGGCTTTTTATAACTACTTAATTATGATGACAGTCATACCTCCGTACGACAAGGTGTATGTGTATTTCCACAGTTAGCCACATAAATACAAAGTTTGTTCTGCTTCTTGGTAAAAACATGGTCAAAATACTAATGGCTTCCCGCTAGTGCTTGGGGCACTCAAGTCGCCATCTGCTGGCAGAAAATGTTACATAAAAACTGCAAAGACGACAACATTGAATTATTTACCAGCATAATGCCACAAAATCACATTTGGGTCAGGTATTTCCTGAAAACATTGTCATTGCCTTATGTAACATAACGTATGTTTAGCTAATGTATAATATCAAGATGTAAGATGTATTACGTATATGTATCCAGAGATCTTGTTGTCGCGCACAGTTTTACCCAGAATCAGAGGATTTAGATATTTATTTTATTTTATTGTTATATCTTTATCAGACTTTCCTGCATTGAAAATTAGAGGCATTTTATGGTTTCACGCCCATGGATGCACGCCTTATATGGACCGCCACCGATTATATGCACGCAGGGATTATATGCCCACATTATATGGATGCATGCCTACAAGTTTGCAAGCATCTTGCTATTTAGAATAAGCGTGTTCTGAAGAAAAGGTTGTCTTTCAGACTGTATATAGCATTCAGTTATCTAAAAACTCAATACACAAGAGTCTGCGTCATAGTTCGATTCAATGCAACGTCTTTATTACTATTAGTATGTTACATAGATACAACAACCGATCGCATGAAAAACATGACAGTATCATAGTATCAACTCGACTCAATGTGTATTTAATGAAACCATAAATTAAACAACAGTATCGAACATGAAACACATACATGACAGGGCCAGATCTAGATTTCGGGAGACGGGGGGGGGGGTGTTGATATTTGAGTGAACGCGTGCCGAAGGCAAGCGGTGCTAGAGTGGCCCCATTTTACTAGTATCATAACATCAGGAGTGAATCATAATAGATTATCTATATTAATAATCTATTAACAATCTATTATTATTCCCTCCTGATAACATTAGTCAGTCATTTCAGTGTTGCAACCCCCCCCCCACCCTCTAGATACGCCACTGCATGATGCCAGCATAGTGACCGAGAGAGGCACGCACTATTCCCAATGTACTCTGACACATGGCCGCCCATGACTCTCCCTCAGCAGGCGTGAAGGAATCATCTCATCTTGATTATTCTAACTAACAAATATTGACTCTGCTTATCTATCTGCATTCCATCTGCTATTGCAAGAAACTGTTTGGGACGGAGTGTTTTGTAAGTCTCCTACGCTCCCCTCAATCATCTCATTGCTACCCACTCTCCACCCTCAATCACCGTTCTTTCTCTCTTCTCTCTCTCTCCCTCTCTTTCTCATTATCTCTCTCCTTCCTTATCTCCCTCCTTCCTGCCCTCTCTTAGTCCCTCCCTCCCCCTTGCGCCCCCGTCTCTCTTGCTTTCACGCTAACTCTCTCTCTCTATCGCTTTTTTTCCCTACCTCCCTCCTCTGCTCTTTTACCCTCAGCATTATTACTCTCCCTCCCCCTCTCTACTCATCCGTCAGTGTGGGACTCATCTCAGAAAAAATCCGCGGCACGCAACCGCCTTCCCTTCATTGCCTTCTTTCCCGACTTTCCCGTCGCGGGACTCTCTTCCCCGCCAGGCGAAAACTTCAGGAGCCCCTGCACGGGTCGCCGGTCCTTGTCGAACGGCACCGCGGGGCTGCTCTTCACCGACGACTTGTAGTCCCAGTGAGCGTGCTGAGTGTTCCGCATCAGCGCAAACTGAACCTTCTTGCGAGACGGCTCAGACGCGCACAGCCGCACGGGGGTCGTCGCAGCGGCGATGCGTGGCGCGGTCCCTGGTGCCACCTTGTGGGCGCCGCGGCGGACGAACGCCGGCGGCGGTGTCGTCACCCGCGTGAAGGCGGGGAGCGAGGGAAGCGCAGGTTGAGGGTTCTTTGCTGCCGTCGCCGCCTTTGTCTTCTTTCGTGGAATGAAGATCTCCACCTCACCTTCTTTAGGAGGCTCCGCCCAAGACCTGCTGGGCTCTCTAGCCACGCTCTCGCCACCCGGTCCGTCTGAAGTCACATGCGAAGATTTCACCTTCTTCTTCTTCTTCTTTTTCGTCTTCGCCGTCGTCGTCCCAACCGGCACGTCCGACGCGGAGGATTCACCGCCCGTCGTCCCTGCCCCCGGCGCAGCACGCGTAGCGCCACCACGCGGCGGGAGAGGCGTGCTTACCTCGTCCTGCGACGCGTCGACCGAATTCGCGCAATCGGACGATGGCGGTGACGACGAGGCAACCTGCCGTTTCTTCTTCTTCTTGGCGCCTACTGCTCCGTTAGGACGTACGTCCCGCACGCTCACGCCACTGTTCAGAGTCTCCCGGCTTTCTGTCCTCTTCCGTTTTCTTCCCGGAGAAGGACTCTTTCCGCTGTTCACCATCGAAGCGTTCTTCGTCGTCTCCAGAGATTCGTCGCCCGCGGCAACACTGCTCTGTCGAGCTTCGGCGAGCCTCTGCTTCTTCTTCTTCTTTTTCGTCTTCTCGCTTGCCGCGCCGGCGGACGACCCGTTCGATTTCCGTTTCTTGCCGACCTCCTCCGTCGCTTCCCCTTCCTCGCTTGGTGCTTTCTTCTTCTTCTTCTTCTTCTTCTTCTCCTTTTTCTTTTTCTTCATCTTCTCCTCCGCCGCAGGACTGGCCTCCTCTTCCTCACTCTCCTCCGCCGCAGAGCTGACCTCCTCTTCGCCGCTCACCTCGTTGGAGTCCGGTGGCTCTGCGTCTCTTCTCTTCATCTTTTTGAACCTCTGCCTCTCCTCATGGTCACGTTCCATCTCCGCTCCTAAAAATATAATGCCGACATCAGTGTAGAAGCGACGGTGGCACGACGGTGGTACTGCTACAAATCTTTGACTTCTATTCTATTCAATTCTCGCAGTATCTTCTAGTATCTGCTATCACATTTACTGCGAGGAGAAAAGATATTGGGGTGGGGGTTTATGACGTAAGTGTAAGTGTAATTGTGCCCTGAAACACGAGGTCGGAATGATTACCGGAACCCAAGGAACCAGGTGTCGTATATATACCCAAACAACCAATGCCATACGATGTGCCACACATGCTAACGTTAATAATATATTCGACAATATACAGAGTTCCTTTTTAGGATACATACAGTGTCCACAATCCAGTGCACTACTGACCGAAATAGTGCAAGTGTGGAAGTGCAAGTGTGGAAGTGTGGAAGTGTGGCAGTGCACAATCCACACTGCACTACTATTTCGGTCAGTGGTGCACTGTGGATTGCAGACACTGTATGTTACGCTATGCAGTGAATGAATAATCCTTACACTACATAGCGTAACGTACCCAAACTTGTACCGTACTTGCTCACTCTATCTTTACACAACGTTACACATCTGTAGTATTACGTATTATATATATATATACATATATATATATAGTAAATACTATATATTATAGTCACTCAGGCATTCTATCGGTTACACGACGTGGCACGTCGATAACCCACACGCTGACATCGTAACACGACACTCCACCGCGATTAGTATCTCTCTCTTTTCGTATCACTGCTACTGCTAGGAAAAAAAACATAAGGGGGGCCCTCGCGAGCGGCCTTATGTTTTTTGTCCTAGCAGTTGATGTGGTACAAAAAGAGATATATACTAAACGTGGGCAGGGTGTCGTGTTACGATATCAACATGTGGATTGTCGACGTGCCATGCTGTTTAACCGATAGAATGCTCGCGACACGACGTACCTAGTCGCTCGACCGCCTCATCGTAGTCACTCGCTTTCAGCTCCAGCTCGCTCCCGCTATCCAGGTCCGGCTCCAGCGGGAATATTCCCGCCTCCAGGTCCCTGAAGCGTCTGACGAGCCGGTAGAGGGCGCCTCGATTGCGTGCGGCGCACTTCCGCTCGCTCGCCGTCCGAAAGAGCAGCTCGGCGATCGCGGAGTAGTCGAACGATAGCCGCGGGGGCGCCACCGTCCGCTCGCCCGCATCGTCGTCATCATCGTCGCTGTCGCCCTCGTCGTCCGGGTGAAGTTTTTGCGCGAGCGGCGAGTCGTAGATGATGCTGTGGAAAACTCGCTTGCAGACCCTGTTCGTGACGGAGGCGCCCCTGGTGGCGGCCAGCAGCGACGCGAACGGCTCGAGGAATGCGAGATTCTGGCGGGCAGTGAGTTCGGCCGCACTGACCTGCGGACGAACGATGAGCGATGATGCGAGTGTCAGAAGGAAGCAAGCAGGGGAAAAAGAAACAGAAACTAAATATAAACGTTTTGCGTATTCAGACGTTCTTGGATTTCGAATTACGTGATAATAACGTCAGACAGACACACGCATGTGTACACCCACCGAAATGCTCACACGCACACGCACACGCACACGCACACGCACACGCACACGCACACGCACACGCACACGCACACGCACACACACTCAGATAGATGCACCCACGCTTACAAACGTGCACAAATGCACTCACAGAGATTGAGAGACACACACGTGCATACAGATGCACGCACGCACGTACGAACCCACCCAGGGGGCGAAATTAGCGGTATCCCGATATCCGCGGGATAGTAGATTCTTGTGTTGGATACCAGATTTCAATGCTTGGTATCCCGCCGGGATAGTAAAAAAAAAATCGTCAAAATCAGGATAGTGGTTGTTGAGTTATCAACTTTTGTACGCCAGCGCATCTGAGCGAGTGCGCGCGATCTTATCATAAATGTGATGCGTATACATTGTATCAAGCAAACCAGACAATGCGTCTAGACAATGCGTCTACAGTGTACTTGTCTGTGCATATCTGTGAATCTGTTTTCATGTTTTTATATAATAATTACATTACATATTAATAATTTTCAAATGCTATTATTGCATATTTAAAGATTTTGGATACCAACATTGTTTAAATTACTATCCAAAAAATGGGATACCAGATCTTTGGGGGGGATACCAGATTACAATACCTGGTATCCCGAATGGATACCATAATAAAAATCTAATTTCGACCCCTGCCACCCACGCAGACATGCAAGCACACATACAGGAGGTAATGGCCAATTAAAATTACCATCGTTAGCTCCTCTAAGAAAATGTCAGCGATGTGAAATCGAATGCCATCAACTGATGCTTCCTCAGCAGCACTCAGCGGCCCTAAAACAACAAGAGAACATTCAGATGCTTGACAATATCAGTACCTACGTCCCAACCTCGATATCGTAGCTTATCCACTAGAACATAAGAGCGTTCAGATGAACTAATGTCTGGTGCCACCTAACGAACCCACTTGAACATCAATGCATTCCGACACATTATGACCCCAATGCAAACGTGACTCATCTTCAAAAAGAAGACTCTTGACAGATAATGCTTTCACAGTTTCAGCAGAGCACAAATATGCATTCCAATAGCATAAGCATCTTTAGTTAGCCATACTGGAAAAGTACCAACAAATTTGATTCTGATCATAAGCAACATCTGAGTAAGGTGGAAAAACATGAAGACACCCCACCCCCCAAAATTCCTAATAGGATATTATCATAACTATCTATGTATACTAGCGTTGGTATTTTACCAAAGTAACACGGTATTACCGTGGTATACCGCGATTTCAAGAACAGGTCAGAGGAATATACACACAGTGTACATGCGCGTGTGTATGATGCGTACACGGGCCGCACACAGTGTACGATTTGAAAGTCCTGAACATTGCTCCATTGGCGCCGACATTTTAAAATCACATGCCCGATTCCTGCGCTTTCATTGGTCGGTAAATATTTGTTGCTGAGCTCGATAGCTCAGGGAGCCCGCACACGGTGGGTTTCTGGCCTCGCGAGGCCAGAAATATCAAACACGCTAGATATCCGTCTCACAGCCTCGCGAGGCCAAAAATCGTGCAGAATTTAGTTACCCGCACACGGTGAGCTATCTGCTGAGCCAACGGCCTCGTGCGTCAGCTCAGCAGATAGCTCACCATGTGCGGCGGGCTTTAGTGAAACGCGCTACCGCACTACGCGCTCGTGATCGATCGCGCCCCTTTCTCCCATCAAAGGCACCGCTGCCGCACTCATAGAAAATTTGCTATATGTTGCAATTTCTTTGGAACAAACATGAGCGAGAGTAGGAGTGTCGTAAGGCTAGAACCAGTCTGAAGTAATAAAGTATGTACAAATGAAACAGCGCAGACTATCTACTAAGCATATAGAATAGGTGTGGAGATACGCGAATATAGCGTGAATGGTGTCGATCGACGGAGATGAATTTATAAAGCTATGCAATGACGAGAAAGTGAAATAAAATTGACGTGATAAAAATAGCTAAAAAAAATCGGTACACCACTACACCACACAAAGTGCCGCAGTACGCACCGGTACAGGTCACGTACCGCGGTATACCGGTATACCGCGCACCTCTAATGTATACTATATATCACACCTGACGAGAACATTTTGAGTGCTGTTGCAACGAGCTGCTTGTTCCACTTGTTATTCTTGAGCAAAACAAAGATCTGGTTGACGAAACGTCGCACCAGCATCTGGAACTTGTCCAGGCGAAACACGTCTATGTTGTACCTGTCGCAAACGATATGGAGATGCAGGAAAACAGCAGGAAGTACGTGTACGCACTTACACACGAGTTGCAACCCGCACAGGGACGTCTGCAGCTAGGGACAGCATGCAATACCTCGATGTGCATTGATATACTATATGTCTATATGAGACATATATGACATATATGTCTATTACAGAGTGGAACGCCTTACCCACTGAAGTGATGACAGCCGAGAATCTATGTTCCTTTAAGTCTCTAATTACTGCCTAAACGACATCAGGGCAGTTTTTTAAGTAAAATTAGTTTTTGTTTTTTTTCCCCTTAGAAAATCAAAGAGAAGGGAAATTTTATTTTAGTCTCAACTAGCGCCTCCCGTTGGCAGAATCATCAGTATGTTGATGGTGGCCAATATAGAGTAGAAGTAGAAGGAGAAGTAGAAGTATACTGCATGAACGCACACGCATAGACACGCATGTATGATCGTGCTCACACGGTGATGTATCCGTATGCGTGTGTACGCATGCACGTGTAATAATGAAGAAAGACAGACACTAATTCATATATATTACTGAGTAAAGTTAAACTAACACCGATTTACAATGTTTAGACTTTATAACATGACGTTATAACTACGTCTTTATCTAAACTAGAGATGTATAGAAGGGGCTTGCAATTACATTCAACTATTGATTATGTGTTCAGAACTTCAGACCATGCATGCTCTTTACACATGCAAGGGGATGCCATTAAAATTAAGACAGCCGATTTGATGAAAGAACAGAAATCAAATCAAACACGCTGCATCAGGAAGGAACGTTAAAGTAACCATTGCGAGAGTTTTCCAGTGTTTTCACCACTTTCATGACACCTTAGTATCGTTACTGCTCGAGTAACAGCAATTGTCTAGAGTAACAATAAAATGTCTTAGAACCTTCGTATTCACCGAAAACTGCCAGTTTCGAACTAATTGTTTTTGTAAACATTCGTTATATTTCCGCTGTCAGGTGAGACAGCAGAATAAATTCAGCTTTTAGTTTTTCTGAGCAAAAATCTTGCAATAACCATTTTAACACTATAGTGTATCCCCCTACAGAAATGAACAATATTGTCTCCCTCTGGAAGTTTTAACACTAGGTTTTTTCTCCGGTGACATGACAACAGGGTTCTCCAAGAGCACTTATAGCCTGGCGGCCCGCCAGGCTATCGTCGAGCCCCGCCATCCTAAAATGCACCTGCCACTCTAAATATCATAGCCGCCATGCTAAAATTAGCTAAAACATGCTAAAACTAGGACCGTAAAGGCAGCCCCGCCATGCTATAATGAAAAAGCTTGGAGAACCCTGGACAACTAGTGTCTCCCTCTAGAGGCACAATAACTAGTGTCTCTCTCTCTCTAGGCACGACAACTAGTGTCTCCCTGTCGAGGAAAGACCGGCTAGTGTCTCCCTGTCGAGGAAAGACCGGCTAGTGTCTCACTCTGGATGGGTGAGCGATAGCGTCTAATTGACACACCATTCACGTCGCATCGTCCTGAAGAAAGCTTCGGCGAATGCGAGAGCCGACTCTGGGCGGGCAAACCCCAGCATGAGCTGTGCGATGATGCGAGCAAGATCTTCCTGCACGAGTGGCTTGTCGCACATCCACATGCAGTAGAACAGACCCATCCACAGCTTGAGCAGCTCATCTTTGCTGAAACCTGTGGCGACAGAGAGAACACATCACGCACGCGGTCGCTACCAGTGGCGCCACCCAACACCAGCACAGAATAATGGTATACATGGAGTCATTTTACTCACGTGTGCAGCGGATTTTCGTTGAGTAATTTGACGCATGCGTCATTTTACTCACGTGTGCGGCGGATTTTCGTTGAGT